CGTTCCCCGAACATGTCAATTATATATCTCTAGATGTTAGGAACTGTGGGTTCTATCCTACGATACCCGTTCGTGCTTGTCCCGTATTCGTGAGGCTGATGTGACGAATATGGAGCGGGAGGTGAACGGGCGTTGCTCAGGATGTGGTGTAAAGATAGTCTCCACAAAGATGAGGAGGGAGTTGAACGAGCGTTCAGGACGTGGTGTGAAGATTGTTTTTGTGGTTTGAGTGTGGGTGTGAGTGATTGTCACTGGTAGATAGATGTCCAAAGGGAACGAATGATATTAGGAAAGACAAATGCATTGAGTCCATGGCAATAAAAGGCCAAATATTGGTTACTTTGCAGAATATCAGCTTGTTTGTTGGTGTCCTGCTTTATACAGGGGCTCCAAATTCTTGGGGATAGGTCCTCTTCGATTGTCAAGAATAGGGTCTTCCTCAACAAAGACAGGATCATCGCTAGAGCCATCGGGTCTTCCAGCATTCTTGACACAATGTACTGGCCTTCCTTCTCCGCCTCAAACGCCCCTTCTCTCCGTCCTCACACTGGAAGTGTCCGTCCGTACAATCTTCCCATCAAAGTCATCCTGGCTCAGTATCATCTCCTGGCTGCTACAGCTTCTCGCCCCCGCGATCTTGGATTCTGTCTCATCCAGACTGTCTTCATCAATTCGTCTCTCCACTCTCGTGCTGGTTCCCCATGTGCGCGGTTGCGCTTCTGTCTCGGACTTTGCCCTTTCGCTGAGACCCATTTCGTAGTTCTCGTAAGTACGCCGACCTCCGCTGGGACCAGATCCGAATATGCGCCTGCCGAAGACGCGCTCGCCAAGTGGTTGGAGTATGGGTATGCAGGCGGCTATGATCATTGTACCGCCTTCGACTCTGCATGATTCGGGATAGATTAGCGTTGCATCCTCTATGAAAGGCTCGTTCCTTACTCACATTGTCCAAATTACCAAGTCCGCCGTATCATCTGGAGGTAATCGTCAGCCTAGAGATCCTGGATAGCAGTGGAAGCGAGTCCATAACATACATGTGAAGTCGCTGCTTGCAAGACTTGGGACGCGGGTGCATTTATATACCGCGACCACGGACGAGCTACTCAATGTCGTCAGCATATTCTTGTCGTGATGACTAGGGATCCTCACATAGACCCAATGCCTAGCGCAACACTCAAAGCCGCCTTCTTCTTGATGCTCATCTGTAGTCTCGCAAGCACCAAGGCCGGATAGACAGCGAGGTACAAGTCCACAAATGCGCCAAAAGCTATCTCACACGTCAGCAGGCCGTTGCGTCAACTTGGCCCCCATATGAAGGTAAGCTTAGCGTCGTACCTCCCGTGTAAATAGCAAACGAGACCAATATCCATTTATCCAAGCAGTGACCAGGCACGGAAAAGTCCCATTGTGATTGCGTTGGTTGGCAATGTGTGAAGAGGAGAATCATGTTGGCCGTCAGGTTGAGCAGGCAGAAGAGGGATAGGGCCCAGAGGAACGTCCTGTGCCATGGATCTGGGTTCAAGATCCGAGTCAGGAGGGCAACGACGGCGAGCTTGGGTAGGCCAAACGACATGACGCCGGCCGGGAAGCCAACGATTGTCCAAAAGATGGCTCCGGACTTTTGTTGAGTGGTCAAGAGTTCGAAGTGCAGGCCCATGCCATGTGATACAGCAACCACGGCGGTCGCGACGCTCACCCAGCTACAGATCTACATGAGATTGATAAACCTAGTCAGACAGCTAATGTAGGGCTAATTGATTTATGGCAACTCACTACTGACGCCACGATGAGGTAGTCATCTGAATGGAACTTTTTGAGTATCATGCCCCGGACATAGAGCCTTGCTGCAGTGAAGAGGGTGCTGAGAGCCGTGACTGAGATGATGATCCCCAAGGAGGACGGCCCCTTATTTTCGGCGTCGGCTGACTTTGATGTTGACATTGCTCATGTGGAAAGGCAGCAAGTGAGAATTGATGGGATCGAAGCAAGAGAAAGTCTAGGAAGTACAGACGAGAAAAGGGGAATATGGACACGATCTACGATAGAAAGTGCGCATCCTTGAATGCGTACGCCGGCATGGCTGCTGCTCTGGGACCGAAGTCCAGCAATACTCACTTCCTCGCGAACATATTGCCAGCCAGAAATCACATAACCTTCTTTTTCTAATGCTCCCGCCCGTTCGAGTCAGATCTTTCGGGGACTCCAGCCAAAGATGTGATGAATCAGACCATCGGTGTTGCCCGGTCCACAAAAATCGAGATGCTGCGCAAGCAGGATGGACCAACATCTGTTGGACCGACAAGATCCTCCTGGTTTCGAACAAGCCCAGGCTCATGAAGCGAATGAACCCTTCCCGGTGGGGCTGGGGTGGTTCCGGGATGCTTCACCCCAAAAAGGGACTGCTGAACATGGTTCTATTGCAACGATACATAGCCAACAGGTCTGTTGGCCCAGAGTTGCAGCAGAACCCTGCATGCGAGCGTGTAGAGTAGATGGGAGCTTCCGTGTTTGAATCTTGGCGATCATGGGAAATGATTCATCGGGCATGGGTTCTTGCCAAGGGTTCACATGAAGAACATGTGGTTATATGCAAGGAAAAGCATACAAATATGCTCGACGATGTCCCGCACCACTATCCAATACCCCATGTCATCAAAATCATATCCGACATACCTGTGACCAGCACTGAAAACAAATCTTCTTTCACAAACTTTACTGAACCTCGCGGCCATTCATCATTCATACTATTCATCATCCGTAATGGGCTCAGTCCCGGACAATCTTCCTCATGGCGTCTCAGTCGACATGGCAACCCAGCCCAGCAACCCAAAAGACGTGGCAACGTTGTTGAATAGCATCGGCACGTTGGGTGCTTCCTCTCTCGATAATGAGCAGAGTCGCCTTAATCTTTTGAAGCAGGCTCGTCTACTGGTCCAGGCTTTAGAGACACCCAGAGAGACTATGATCAAGCACCTGTGGGCACAGGTATTACAGAGTCGTTTATAAGGATTAGATGGTGTAGCTGACTGAAATTAACATCCAGCCTGCCACCGGCTGCGCCATCGCCTCTGGAGTCGAATCGGGTCTCTTCGACTTCATGGCCCGGAACCCAGGGCCCAAGACTGTAGCCCAACTCGCTGCGGAATTAGACTTTGACAAAGATTTACTCGCGCGTTCGATGCGGCATCTGGCGTCCACAGGATACCTACGCGAGACCGGTGTTGACGAGTACGAGACGAACCACTTTTCGAAATCACTGACCCTCCCTATTATTGGCAGCGCTTACTCTTGCGTGTAAGTTTCCATCATCCGGCCTAACATGAGAGACTTGGGCAGCTAACGACCTCTTCCAGAGTCGGCGGCGTCTGGCCTACCTTTTGCAACTTCCCCACGTATCTCAAGAAGAACGGGCGAAGTATCACACCAGAGATAGGACCTCTACAAGACGCTATCGGAAGCAACAAAGACTTCTTCACGCACATAATGGAAAAGTATCCCGCCGGCGAGTTTCAGCAGTTCATGAAAGGATACGGTCAGGGGAGGAGACTTTGGATGGACCCGGATTTCTACCCTGTAGTCGAGCGCCTCGTCAACGGTGCAGACACAACCTCACCAGACGCGGCGCTCATCGTTGACATTGGAGGCGGCATCGGTCACGACCTGGACGAGTTCTGTCGCAAGCAACCCGCTGCGCCAGGCCGACATGTCCTACAAGACCTCCCTCATGTCCTCTCACAGGCGCAAGTCCAAGACCTCGATCCCAAGATTGAGCTTATGCCGTATGATTTCCACACCGAGCAACCCGTCCAGGGCGCGAGGGCGTATTATCTCCACTCTGTACTACACGACTGGACAGACGAGGTCTGCGAGAGTATTCTTGCGCGGGTCAAGGCTGCGATGAGGGCAGGGTATAGCAGGCTCTTGATCAACGAGAACGTTATACCTTCCAAAGGCGCAGATTGGCAGGTCACGGCGCTCGATATGGTTATGATGACTGTGTTTGCGTCGAGAGAGAGGACAGAGGAGGAGTGGTACCGGTTGCTGGAGGGAGCTGCTGGGTTGAGGATCGTCAAGATCTGGACTAGAGGGGAGGGGTCTGAGTCGCTTATTGAGTGTGAGTTGGCATGAAGATGAAAACGGATCAAGGGAGAAATCTGCTCAAACTTGAAAGCTGAATTAAAGAAACTTCTGGGCCTTGAAAGACATTTGACAGAACGGCAAGGTTGAGATCCTCAAGTCACTTGAACCTCAGAACAGAGCGGTTTCATTCACCCGAGCCAGCTCACTATGCAAGCAGGCAGCCTTATGAAGAGCGCTGTAAGCCTATGTAAGAGAGCTCTTAGACATTCAAAGGCAGTCCACGAGCGGGAAATATTAGTTGTCGTTAGTCGTAAATTGGGTAGACTTGCTCGTCCGACCCAAAGCATTGGTGCCAGCGAGCAAGCTCCTGTCGGGATCATACTCCACGATTCCTCTTATATCAAAAGCTAGGGCTTCTTATAAAAGTCCAATTTGACGGTTTTGATGCCGCTTCGCCTATCGTGCCTAGACTCTCTTCTCTTTCCTCTCTTCCCTTACCTTTGATACCTTACCTCTCGTGCCGTATTCGTTATATGTATTTACGAATCAGCAACGGGTGCTGAGTACTAAGGATAAGAAGAACGGTTTAAATACCTAGCATAAGTAAGAAAGGTACTTAAACGCATGGACGAGCTACGTCGAGGGAACATAGCAAGCCGCAGGCCACTCGTAGCTTCGGCTACAAGTTCCTACCACCGGGTATGACAGTGTCCGCCGCCGTTGAGGGACAGGCGACTAAGCACGAATATAGGCTCATGGTTCTTGTGTCTTCCCGGAATGCAGGCATTACTTGGTCTTGCCGGCTGAAAAGCAATCAACACTAACACCGCCCCCCAAACATCCTCATAACTCAAAACCATAACAAAAACAACAGAAACACCACCACATCGCCAAAAATAACTCATAAAAGCAAAAGAATACTCCTCGACTGGGAATTGAACCCAGATCGCCTGCGAATCCGTTGAAATCTCAATGACAAGCAGATATCCTGACCATTAGACTATCGGGGAAGTGTGGATGTTGACATGCAGTGATAGCTGGTTGACGATGGTGACCCGCTGAGGGTATACCAACCCACAGATGGAGCTTTGCAATTAAATGGGTGTGGCAAAATAGTGTGTCGGCTAATACATGCCGTGCCCCCCTTTGTATTGTTACAATACTTTTCTTGTCCTGGCCACAAGCATTCATCGTAACCTAGGTTATCCGTAAGGCCTTAATGGTTTCTGGGAACGAACCGAGTAGCTCAGCCTTTCTTCTCAGACATAAAGAGTCAAGATGAATGAACCTGGGGCAAATCCTTTATGAGCCATTCATGAATCATGCTAGTCCTACATACAAACTTCTCTCTCTTCAACACCTCCCTCACGGAAGCAACTCTCATCCCAGGCCACGCCCAGATCTGCCGCCCCAGTCTCTCCTCGATAGAGCGGGAAAGAAGAAGGCAGTATTAACATCAACAGTAATAGTTTTTCCGCGGTCTCCTAGGTAGTGCTGGTCACCCCTGAAACCATTCCACCACCATATACCTCCCCTCCAAAAACGCCAGGCCAACGGGGAAACCCCCCCAAAACAAGCAAACAGTAACTTCCATGAAGCATACGATGCCACTCCTTCTTCATCTTCACCTTCAACTTCAAATGCCACCGTGGAACACATCAGACTGGATCTTAACCCTCTTCCCCACAGTCTCACCCGAGCCCAGTCCATCTGAAGAGCGCTTCACGCCTCGGGTGACAACTCCACTCGTCGCCCTTTTGGGAGACTCGGTGCCCGCGCTCACCATCTTGGAAAGGGAAGAAGGTCCGTTCGGCATTTTGCCCTGAAGAGAATCCGACTTGACCATCTTCCGAGCAATGGCAGCGGCAGCCTCAACCCTGACAGCACCAAGATGCCTTGTGTGAAACGCCGCCCTCCTCTCCCTCCCATGACCGCATACCCTCACATTACCACCGCAAAAGCTGCACTCGCGCCTGCCCATCGCCGATTCAAAGCGGCCGTCGGGCGCGGGATAGAAGCCAGGGATCGCAACCAGCTCCTTCTAAGAGTGCTTGCCCTGCGGCACAATCGCCTTGTCGATCTGCAGGTTACCCCTTGCCATCTTGTCCTTCTCGTCGCCGAAGCGCGACTCAAACTCCCGCTGCTGGTCCTGGTGCCTCTCGAGGGACTCGCGGCACTCCGGCGGCAAGAGGGCCTTGAGGTCGTCGCCGATGGCCAGGATGCCGTTGAAGGGTTTCAGGAAATCAGGGACTTCGGCGGGTCGCTTTCCAGCGGATTGGACGCCCGCGCGCGGTATTTCGTAGACGATGTCCACGACGTTGAAGTTGCGCTGCACAGCTGAGGGTACCGTGGGGAATGCGCTGTTCGAGTCGCTTGTGTCGCCGGGAGTGACTCTCTCGACGCGGGCGCGGGTGGGCTGCGTGTTGACCGGTTTCTGCATCAGGTTGGTGTGAATGTCGTATGCGCCATTACGCAGTGTTGCCATGCGGATGGCGTTGAGGCGACTGTTGAACTCGCTGAAGCTTTGTTAGTATGTGACACATGCACGACTGAAGGACTCAAACCCACCTAGCAGCACGAGCGTGCTCCAGTTGCCAATTCGTATCGTTCACGTTGACCCTCTTCTTCTTGACCTCTGTCAAACCAGCAAGAGGATCCGAGGCAGCCGGTGTTTGGTTGGTATGGTACACGGCACTGGCACCGAACCACGCGACATACTGATTTGTGTTGTACGGCTCGTTGGGGTTGAAGACGTCTGAAGGGTCCGCAATGTGTCCCTCGGTAATGCCAGAGGCACGCATGTCCGCCACGCGGTAGTCGTCCACAATATTCCGACCTCCCACAATGATCCTCGCGCCGAACTCGACAAAGACGGATCGCGCCGTGACGATACCTATCGCACGGCCCTTGTATGAGTGGGGAATGATATTCCGCTCAATCATGTCCATCTTCTCGTCGTCGCTCACGATAATCTTGTACAGCTTCGGGTGCTTGTTGAAGAACAAGTAACTGTCGCGGAAACCGACGCAACGAGCGGGCTCCGTCGACAACATGTACTGCCTCTCACCGCGATCCTTGACCGTGAATGTTCTGCAACGGTACTGGCGGCCGCCCTGGAGGTTACCGAGCTTGTCGACCTTTGTCTCGCCTTCCGCGTCTTCGGGAAGCACGCACTCGTCGTCAACAATGTCGACTTCTGTGCCCTCCTTGTCAATCACCTGCTTGAGCTTGGGAGGTGCCTGTCCAGGCGCAGGCCGGCGTCCGCCGCGGCCGCGCCAGCCTCCTCGACCTCTACGTCGCGGAGTGTCGGCTTCGGATGCGGGTACGGTGATCATGTTGTCCCAGCCCGGTGGCTTGTTCTTCGGGGGCCGTCCTAGTCGCTTGCGACGCACCACAGGCTCGGTCGGGGGCGTCGGTTCTTTGGCTGAAGGTTCGGATTCTTCTCCCTCATCGTTTGCTTGCTCCTCCTCCTCCTCCTCTCCGTCTTCGTCGGCGGCTTCCTCTTCATCGCCTGACTCGTTCGCCTTCTCTTCTTCTTCCTCCTCATCCTCTTCGTCATCTTCGGGCGGCGCCTCGTGCTCGGGCTCGGACTCAACAGCTTCGGGAACGGGCTCGTCATCGTCGATGCCCTCAAAGGCCCTGGGCGTACTTTCTGTATTCGGCATGCAGTCAGCAAGCAAGTTTCGCTTGTGTTAACCGACAATAGTCATGGCTGGGACAGCCACTTGTTCGAGGGGTAGCTGTCGTGAATGGAGGGGTATACGAAGCGAGGAGGAAACCATTGAGGCGCAATGCGCTCGCATCCCACAGAACAACAGGCTGTGGAAAGAGATTCGAGCAGGTAATCCATCTCCAGCATGTTGCAGGCCATTCACGGAATCAAATCACGGGCCACGCAGCTCCAAAAGTCATGACCGAAGGTGCATATTGGGGGGGGGGGGGGGGGAAGTTGAACTTACGCAGCGCAGCAGAGGCGCGCTTGGCGGCAGCCCTGCCTGACCGGGAACGACGTCCAGACATTGTGAAGCGCGCGCGTCGAGGACACAAGGCGGATGGTGAATCGAGATGGGGATCTGTGGGCGCAATTCGCAAGTTCGGTGGAATACAAGGCTGAGTGAATGTCAATCGGCGCTGGGAGATGGAGTCGCGTCGCGAGGCAAGGCTCAGCTTTCCCTGTGGTGGGAAAAAGTTATTGGGGGCTGAGCCAGCATCTGATTGGCTGTTACGGTATGTGCGAATACCGCCTCATATGGCCTTCTAACACTGTATACACGCCCATCTTCCAAGCGCTTCAATATGGAGAACCTTGTTAAGCTGGACCTGTACTGCCTCACTAGTATCTTTGGCCTCGTCAAACATGTCAGGCTCACCGGAATACCAGCGCAATCTCATAACTGAAAGCATGTTGTGATTCGTGCTGTCTATGCTATGAATCCTCTTGGTCAAAAGAAACCAAGCAGCAATCTGGGAATATCCGCAATGATTATGCAATTAAGCCACCCCAGTCCTAATAATTCCAGAGTCCCCATCCCAAACCTCACCACGCAAGCGAGCAAAAAAAAAAGAAGCAAATCTGTCTCGTCGGCAATCGGACCCTCACGCTCTGATCTTCCAAGAGCTTCGAGGTTGCACCATTCCAGGTGACTAGAACCGATTGATGGACTGAGACGGCGGGCACAGGGAAACCACCCCCAAACGCCCATGGGAATTTTTGTGTTCTGCAGTCGCTGCTAACGACCAAAACGATGCAGCCGGCTGCACGAGACTCCGAGGTATCAGTCTTTGACGTGTTCTCCTACTCATGTTTAGTAGTCAAATGTGTCACGTCTTCTCCGAAATCCTCCGCCTCGACTTTGATGGAGACCATTTCTTCCGCCTCGCCCTGGGGATAATGAGCAGTGTCTAAGCAGTTGAAAAGGCGACCAGAAACCTTCTAGTTAACCGGAAGATTATCGATTGCCTTCTTGTCCGCACCCCACTCCTTCTCGATAAGTCTATCGCGAGCCTGGTACAAGAACCGATAGGCTGTCTTGATGGTGCCGTCGCTGACACCTGCCACCGAGGCAATCTCCTTGGAAGTTCTCGATTCCTTCATTAGGTGAGATGCCATGTAGATACAGGCGGCGGCGACAGACAGAGGCGAACGACCAGCCAACTCAGAGACGCTCGATGTCTTGCGTGCGAGCGCGCGCGAGACGTTTTCAATCTTCTGCGCATTGCGGAAGTTGAGGTTGGAGCAGAAACGAGTGCAGAGGTCCTCAGCACTGGTAGATGCGCTGGCCTTGTAGCCGTCCAGATTGGAAAGAGAGCCGGCACCACGCGGGTTCTCTTCCTTGATCTTCTGGAGGAAAGACTCGAGCTGCTTGAAAACCCTGCCGATTTCCTTCTTTGACACATGGGTGACCTGGAAGATCTCGCGGAAGGTACGGCCGACGCCGGTCTGACGACAGGCAATGAAAATGCAGCCTGCAATGACAGCCTCCTGCGGCTTGCCCTTCATGAAGTTGTGGTCGTACGTCAGCTTGAAGATGTGCTTGGCCGCATCAGAGACGTTCTTGCCAAGGTTGATACTATCGCAGAAGGCACCAATCTCCTTGTACGCCTGCATCAGCGATTTGCTAGCCTTGTCGTTCTGGGACTTATTCTGGAGACGGGCAAGTTGCTTAGAGTCTCTGCCATCACCGAACGCGATGGTGGTCTCGAGCTGTGAGCCGTTGAGCAGGGGGTTGACGGCGTCACCGACACGGGAGGGGTCGTCGTTGCCCTGGTCGTCGTTGGCGAATGTACGCCATTCTGAGCGGGTGTCGATAATCTTGTCTCCAACGACGAGGCCGCAAGAACCGCACACCATGTCGCCAGAAGAGAACTCCTCAACCAAGTTGGGAGGATACTCCTTGCAGTCGGGACACATCACGACGCAGTTGAGGTCATCCTTAAAGCCCTCGGCATTCTCGTCCGTCGCGGCTCCATTGGGGCCGAGCATCTTGGGCTTGTACGGCTTGGCAGTGTAGATGTTGTTGATTTCGTCGAAAACTTTGCGACGACGTCTGAGCTCCTTTCTTCTCCGCCGGAGTTCTTTTCGCTTATTGACGACTGCTTGGTAGGTTTCTTCTGTCGGTTCGCTGGTTTGCGCTGTCCAAAGAAGATCGGTATGAAGCTGAACAAAGAGCGGCGAATGCAGCTTGGCGGTGTTTTCTTGGGCGACGGCTACTTCGCTCAATAAACGATCGTCTCAAAGGACGATGCTAGAAGCTGCTTCGGAACCGAGGTAAGGTCTCGATCCCACGCCGAGGCAGTAGGCGAATGTATATAGATAGAGAATCCTCAGGCTACTTGATCGGCGTTTTCTTGATGAACGGAGTAGGCGTTCAGCGGGAGAATGACGAAAGCGCTCGGGGATGCCCTAACTATTTCAAGAGATAAAGGTGAGCCATGACTTCCTGACTTTCGGCAGGAATATCCTCTCTCACCAAATAAAATGTCCTTTGACAGAAGTCGCGAAAGACGATTTTGCGGGGGAAGGAGGAGAGGAGACGGGGGAGAGTAAGGCTTTGTTTGCCAGCCGACCGATTCTACCAGTGAAGGCGTCCGAGACGTGGGAAGTGGCGAACAAAGGCCTGAGATGGTACAGTGCAATTGTACCAATGTCGCGCGGCTCGAAGGACTCGTCACGACGGTCGCAAAGTTGCTCTGAAAAAAGTCGGTGCGACGATTTCTCGAGATTTCGTTGCGGCGAATGCAGACGACGATCTTTCGTGCGGCGAGCGAGTGACGTGAAGTGGGTTGTAGGGGAGAAGAGTCAAGGCTGAGGTTTCGGATTACGGACGAAGACTTTGACCACCCAGAACCTGGTAAGACCTTAGGCAGGCAGTTTTCGGAGATGACTCAGCAGGCAGTACCTAGGACTCGGCAACCTTATTTCGGTCAACCTCACCTTGCTTACCTCATCACTTGAGTGGGTCTATTATCAACCTCCGATTTTCAGTCTTTGTCATCTCGAATGTTCCAGCCCACGGAGGAAGGTGTTAGTCACTCATCCACCTTCCCAAGTAACTCACCAGTCTCTCACCAAATGCAAACAAACCAAACTTGAGTCAGAGGTCTTGACGTATATTCAGTCGTGGGTATCAATACAAAAGAAATGTACGGTATAAAGAAGGTACAAGAATACACATCGGGGCAAACCCTCAGCCCTCGTCTTCTTCAAGGTAGAGCCACTTCATCGCTCAAACATGCTCATCATGTCTCGTAATCACACACCTCAGTTTCAGACAAACCTGCTCTTCATGAAAAGTGCGACGATCCTTCAGCTCTGGGTACCGCCGGTAAAGGTCGCGTGATCTCCTCCATCGGGTGAATCGGCGGCGGCGCAGTCTCCTTATCCAGCACCGACCGGCTCGGCCCCGACCCACTCGACTCCGGCGTCAGCGGGACCCCGGCTTCCTCGGCATCCACACCGGAGCAGCCCGGCCCAGTATAAGCCCGCCGCGCAGACGAAGCCGAGCTCGACGTCTCGGACCCAGACCTGCTTCTCCCCTCGCTAGGCGCCCACTCCCCAGACATTTGTCGGCCGTGATGTAATTCCTCCTGATGCTCCCTCATCTGCTGCCTTCCCCTCGGGGGCTCCGGCATATCCATCGTACTTGTTGTCATCTGGTGGTGGTGGTGGTGGCGGCGGTGGTGCTGCTCCTGCATCGAAGAGAGATCAAACACGTCCTCGCAGCTATTACTCCTCGACGGCCCACGACTCGCAAGCGACTTGCGAATCATGATGCTCCGCTGCAGCTCCTCCTCTTCGAGCCTCTCCAGGGCGCTGAGCTTGCGCCGGCGCGCGAATTCTTTCCGCGTGAGGTAGGGATCGCGCTTACACGCCTCGCGGAATTGGGCGTTCTTTTTGCGGTCAAAGATGTAGAATAATGTCGCCGACATGATGGCGGATGCGCAGCAGAGGATGACGATGATGAGGACTGTTGTTGTTCCGGCGGAGGAGGGGGATTCAATGTTTCCTGGTGTGCCGCCGATGCCGTTGCTTGCGTCTATTGGTGTTGGCGTTGGTGTTGTTGGCGACGTGGCTTGTGCCGGTGATGTTGTAAGTGATGGGGACGTTGTTGCGGTTGCTATTGTCGTTTTTGCTTGAAACGTTGTTTGTATTCTTGCTTCTTCTCGTCTAAGTATGTCGGAGATGGCAGGTGCCATGTCTTCTTATGTTGACGTTGCGGACAGCAAGAGAACTGGGCGTTTTGTTTGTTGACAGCGGGACTTAGAACAACATGCAGTCCTAGTCTCCAAATCGTAGTCCGTTTACGCCCCGCCCCGGGGTCTCGAGTCTTCTGCTTGCCCTTCCCCCTTCTAGATCCGAGAGTCGTAGCTGAGCTTTGGGGTGGGATAGAAGTCGAGAGAAGGTAAGTAGTAAAAGATGGTGCCGCGATAGTGTACGCCGGCGCCGGTCTCCGGTGGTGCCAGTATGACGGGTAAGGTGGGCGGAAAGGGGGCGCGAAGGAGGAGGAGGAGGGGTGTGTTGGTGTGGGGTGTTTGTGCGGATGGTCAATGATGCTCCGGACGACTGCACCCAAGCGAGGACATCACCAATGTTTTTGTGTGTAAGTATAGGGTGAATGGTGGTATGGTTCTCTTGATTCCGCTCGGAGCTTTTTGTTCGATGATGGAGACGAGAATAGACAGCTCCGTGCGTGGACCCTCTCTAGATGAAAAGTCCGTGTGGTGGATGGGGGAATGGTGATCAGAAGATGAGGGGAAAAGGGATGACAGAAGGAGGGATGAGAGGTCCCCTTTATTACATGGTTTCTGAATTTTCCCTTGCGAGACACAATGGCTACCCTTTTGCATTGAGAAGGCAGAGCTTCACAAGAGCTTCCATGCAAGCAAGCATGGCCATGGAGGGGGGAAGAATCCTATCAGACACCCCTTGTCCAGCGTGAGAAGGGCACGAGCCGAAGCAAGCGAAGTGACTGCAAGGCAGAGAGGGCATCTCTACTGCTGAGTGGCCCGCATCCCTCGAAGCCTTGGCCTTTCCCACTCACACTCACACAAAAGATTCATGGGTTGGGAGTGTGCATACCGCCCAACTGCGGGCGTGGGGATGGAGATGAGGATGGGACGGGACTGGGGTGAGAGAAAAGCAGAAACAGAAACGAAAAAAGAGGGTAATGTTTGGGAATAGTAGCCGTAGCCGTGTGAGTGTGCCCCATAAGGCGCTGTTTCTGCCGCAGCGATGCCGGTTACAACTTACAACTTCTCTTTCTGTACATTGGGTTGGACCATGGACCTTGGTTGTGAATCGTTCGCCCGGCGCCATGCGATGCGGCTATAATTAATTGGCCGTGTTGCCTTCGTCGTGCTACCATCCCTGTTCCCGCAGCAGGGAAACAGATCCGCCCCCCCGACCAACCGCGGGGATTCAAGGGTGTTGGGTGTGTCTGGAAAGGGATTTACCTAGACTTTTTGGGGCGGTTCATGTTTCTTGCGGCGGCTTTCTTTGCGGCGGCGAGGAAACAAACAAGGCCGAAGGTGGTCCTAAACGTATGCCTAATGTTCTCCCTAGATCGGGTCACGTCTATCGATGGATATCACAAACAAAGACCACTTGACTTGCGTCAGTCCCTGAGACCACCATCGTGCTCGTCTGCCTGGCTGATCTGCATTGGAGACATGTCGAGGCTGGTTGGTCTTGGTAAAGCAAGCGAGACTGCGCAGTAATGTTGCATTGAACCACAGTCTGACAGAGAGAAAAGAAGAGAACCTAGGGCGTGGGCTCCTAACTTAGAACAAGGTACCACAACGGGTCCACGAGGATCTACCTCAACTCGGCTTAGCCTGGGCGCTCAATCAGCTTTCTCAGATCCGCTCGGCCCAGCAAGAAGTTAAGAACCCTGACGCCTTACAGTCCAGCAGCAGCCCGGCGTGGTGCTCGTGGCCGAGCTGGACGCCGTGGACGAACATCCACGCTGGAGAACCTTCTTCGCTCGTTCGCGGGCGCCATGGCGGAAAGGCGAAGGACCCGCGGGGCGGAGCTGGAACACCACCATCTGCAGCTGCACTCGGAGTGTAGATCCTGGACACACACACCCTGCCGGTGGGTGGTGAATGCGGACCCCGTGGTGTTAGCGAGGCGCTGCAAGTCACTCACTCGTGAGTTCACTCACTGAAGACTTCACTCACGCAACCCGCTCACTCATCCTTTCCGTGCTTCCCCCACTCACTCACTCACTCTGCAAGCTGATGATTGAGCGAGATTGCATCAAACCGGCAGTCATCCGACTACCTCGATTAGTTTCTACTCCGTCAAACAAAGAAATCACAATCCCTCGATTAAACACCTCACCTTCGGGTCAATGCTCACATTGTTTGCCCGCCGTGTCTGGACTCTGGCTCCTTTGTTCTCTATCATTCCCCCTTTCCAATTGCCACAAGTTCCAACGTTCGATAACCGTTTCTGAAATTTTCAGCCCGCCCTCTCGCAACTTACATAAAGAAAAAGACTCGGCTTGGCAGTAACATCATGCGAAGAATTAGCTTGGCCAAAGTCGGGCCGGGGACAGATTGACCATTAACGACTCAAACTCATCAGATTAAGGTATTGAAGTTACACAAAACAGCACGAGGCAAATGTGTGGCTTTTTCAGCCGCGAGTGCTACGAGTCGGGCCCATCTTCTCATCATCCCATTTTGCACCCTGGACTCTTTCTCTCCCTCGCTTCAGCTGATGTCTAATCTATTTGGCGTAAAGAAAATGGTTCAAACAAAAGCTATTGAGACAGTTTTGGCACACAAAAAAAAACGATAAAAGAACAAAACTCTGTTGATTCTCATCCAACGGGCGCATTGATCACTCCCACGCACCTCCTGCGCTGCAGCGCGGCCGTTTCAAAACGGCGAATGCATCGACAGCGAGCCTGCAGGATCTCTCCGGGATAGCCCTCGGTGAGTAGAAAGGGACCCGATGGTAAGAATTATACTTGCATTGGTTAAATCAAGGGGAGAAGACCGCGTCCCGGAAGTCAATGATAGAAGAAACAAAGAAGAGAGTTGATGTATGTTCCTGCATGCGAGACTGGTGAGAATGTTAGTTGCTGTAACTGCAAACCCCGTTCGAGCGTGATGAATCCGGACGTTGTAAGCACCGCGGGATGCCCCCCTCTGCCTTACCTACGAAGTCCGGATGGAAACACTTGGACCCCACGGAAGAAGAATGGGATGGAGGATTCTGCGAGATGGGATGCTCTTCGGGCTAATTTGACGATACTTGGCTTATTTGCGAGCGGACTGAGCTTCACTGGAATATGGTATACTTCTCATCAATAATTACAACGGTTTTCTCAGGCAGACAGTGTAATACTGTATCTGCTGCGCTGCAATCCGACACAGGGTAAAAGAGCAGTACACAGACTCATCTCGCGTTGCTTTTCGTCAAGATTATTTTCGGAGGTTCGATTCACAAAAGAGCCTTCAACAGCCTCGGTTCATGCCGTATATCCCGCGAAGGATTCAAATCCAGGCCGGCTGTGGATGGTGGGGGAGAAGAGACAACGCCCGATTCTCAAACATCCCCTGCATCTTTCTCAAGTTCTTTTCGGGAATTCCAAGTCAAGGTCAATGAGCATGCCAAAACCCGAGCCATCAACCATTCCGACTGGCGAGAACTTGGGAGGAAAAGACTCTTCAGCAGAGTAGGTAGGTATTGCGCTGCATGGCAGACTGAAGCAAAAGCACGGTCTGCCATCAACGACCTGCCCGCATCAATGGGGTGAAACATTTTTTCAATTTTTCGGGCAGAAGACTGCATGCTTCCAGCGTCTCAACTCTTCGTCCCTCAACTCAATTCGCCCGGGTGCTTGGGCCATGGGGGATCCGCGAAAGCAGGGTTAAACTCTGAGAGTCCATCCCGTCTTTCACTTCCGAACCTGAGATCTCCTCGAGACGGCAAACAACCTGAAGTAATAGCAGATTCAAAGTACATTCTCTCAGCCTTCATTCAGAAACAAGATCCAAGACCATGATCCGGATGTGCCCGCCCGTCCGCGCTGGAGAGGTGCATCCGACTTACACAAGTTCACATCCAAGACCGGATTAAAAGCCCTGAGCTCCTCGGACCAGCTCATGCAGTAAGCAACCCCGTCCCCTCCCGCGCTGACAGGCGCTGATCTTCCGTTCCCCATCGAACCGACGAACCCCTCTGCCCATCTGCCCCTCACCAGGCATCCTCCCATTCCTCCCGTGCCGTCCCCTCCCCCCATGCTCCATCAATCACAACCACGAGAAACCCCCGCAGCCGTTGTCGTCGGTAGGGTTGTAGCTGTTGTATTCTGCTGCCTCAGCTTACCTACAGATTACAACGATCCCGACCCTCGGCAGCGGGGCAATCTCATTGGTGTGGGTGTTGTGGTGTCTGGGGGCTGAACCTCAAAGATCATGACTGAGACACATGCACACAACCCTCCGCTGACGTCCGGAAATGGATCATGATCGCGGTAAACGGTAACCCCATTATCGCGAGTCTACTTTCTGTGGATCGCCGGTGAGTGAGAACCTGGTGACGGCACAGCAGCGCGGCTGTGCTATTTTCACGACTCTGCTCAATGTTACCTTACCTTACTTCGGACAAGGACTCAGTGAGCGATAAGCGCTGAACCGCGACTTGCGATCATTTGATCATAAGTTCATAACTCTGACTGCACTCCCACTTGTGACCGAATCCGACAAAACTAAGTTGGTCTTGGTGAATGAGACCCCGGTTGAAGATGCCTACCAAAGGTCCTTTACCTCTACCGCGGGGTCCAACGGGCAAACCTTCTGAACGCCATATCAAGGCAGAGTGAGAAACCTTCTGTAGTCCTACCAACAGAAGCGATACCTGGTCTCTGCTTGAAACCCCCATAGAATATGCGCAGAATGCAGAGTGCATGGCAAAA